TACAAGATGTTGGCAAACGTTTGGAATATCGCGATCGGTTATGTTACGTTGGTCCAACGTTTTCACAACATGCTTCAAGGGAAGCTACTCTTGTAATAGAGGGCGCTGTTACTCACGCGCGTCTTTTCAAGCAGACGACGAAAGGGTGATGCGTGGAGGGGTGAGGGAAAACCTAGTTTGCGGTAAGTGTTTACTTCATTACTGTATTTACGAGGTGTTCATTTCATTTTCAAACCTTACAAATGAAACGAGAAACAGTGTTCATTCAAAAGTGTCAACGTGAGTAGAGAAATCTAGGCTTATGTGTTTTGGAAGTTAGAGAAACACACTCCTAACAATGTATCCTGCTTATTTTACGTCAGTGACAAAATCCGTTGAATATGTTCTGACACTGCATCCTCACTATTTATATTTTTTAAACACCATATACAAATAGAGGATTAACCACTGTGTTCGGTTGTTACCGAAAAATCTACACACGAGTGATTAATCTGTCACGATTAGAACGAGGCTTTGCCGAGTTCTAATTGTGACAGATTAATCACGAGTGTGTAGATATTTCGGTAACAACCGAACACAGTGGTTAATCCTTTTTCTCCCATAACAATATGCCATAAAAAGTCGAGCTCGTAGTTGAAGATTTCCCGTGTTTAGTAACCACTCGGGATTCCCCCCAGCCTCGTTTTCGAATATGCTCAGTAAGACAACTGTACCATAAACAGGTAAAAAGGATCTAGCGAAGACAACTCACACGAGTTTTCCGTGACAGGCAAGCCACTTGTTAGCATTCATGTTATGTTTTTTGTTAACTATTAAAAGCTGATGGGGGTAACGTTTTGAGAATTAGTAATGTGATTTGATATTTGTTAATGGTTTTGGATTTCTCGGCCCATAACTTTATTTGCATTCGTCTCGCCGTGACTATCATTCTCAATGCGCAACACTAAATAGGCCCACATTTTTAGTGTATGTAAATACGTTATTCGTTTATTTGTTCGCTAGAAACAAATGTTATAAACCCAATTAAGAGGAAATTAAATATTTTCTTATATATTGTGAACTATTGTTAACGAAAAACAAGTGCCCAAAGGAACTGTCAGCAGGATTGATCAGGCAAGATTCTATGATTACCAACTCAGGCAACTGATCAGCTGATTACGTCTTCTCAAATCCTTCAATCGATTGTAATATTTTTGGACGAATTTACCTCTTTAATACTAGTTTTACAGTGAATAATTTAATGTGTAAAATGATGAATATTTCATGTAATCTTTTTTAAAATTATTTTTGTTCCTGAACATTGTGAGCCCATGTGTTTTTATGATATAAAAAAACCTTTTTCAGTGGACAGTTTTTCTTTTGAACATAATATTGAACATCATGACACCAAATGTTACAAAATGAGTCATCTAATTTCCCCATATTTGTGAATGACAAGAAACAATGTGAATTTGACAAGCACAATAATTTTTTGTGTGTGAAACATAATTACATAGGGTAGTATGTAAACAATAAATTATCATTTCAGTAGTTCTACAAATATTTGCATTTTAATACCCTTGTAATTTTACATTGTAATTTTACTGCAACAGTTACCTCCAAACTTTATTCTTTTGTTATTTTATCAGATTAGAAGTTAAGACTTACTGATAAGCTAATTTAAAATTAACATGTTCTTAAAAATTGTTTTTATCTTCATGAAAACAAGACATAATAATAAATATGTATTTTAGTGACCTGTTCATATGTGATTTTTTTTGGCAAAAAGTATTAAAATTTAAATTAGATATGCTAATGTAAGGAATGGGGTTTATGGTAAAATGTAATAAGAGGACCTCTTGTTGGTCATTTCTTCATCACCCATAAATTTCAGTTTTTCTTTACTTACAATGTTCTGAAAATTTACACATTAGAATAATTTAAGGTCTCTGATTAAAATAGCGACACAACTTTCCATTCCCAGGCAGCCAATTAGATTATGTGAAAAAAATAAACCACTGTAAACCTTGTAATAGGAGAATAATAAATAAAAATACATTTCTTATTTTGTCATATGACCAGTTTATCATCCCAAGAAATGCAAAATAATTATCATTAAAATTAAGCTAGCTATGCATATTGGGACTCTTTATCTGCTATGATAATATAACAATTGCATTTCTAAAGAAGTGGTTTTTTTCAGTAATCATGGAAAATAATAAATCTTTGGTTTAAAGAATATACTTGAGACAAACCTAATTCTATATGTCTTAATACTCTGTATTGTCTGTAAATTCTGAAAATAATTGACTGTGATATTGAGTTTCTACCTAAAACTAATAATAAGAAATTAATTTTGAGATTATTTCATCCTATCTAAAATACACAATATATTTTAAGATGCATAAATGTACATCATTGTTGAAAAAAAAAGAATATTGCTTTTAAAAAAAATACTTGAAAAGGTTGATTGGTGCCCACCATCTTTATCTTCATCATTTTGTCTGCTCCCTATAATAAATCAAAATAGTTAAGAAAAAATATAAATACATATATTACTTTCTGGAGTTTTAGATTTAGGTATGACTTAATATATTCAAGTTTTAACAGGGTAATGATCTTTTTTCATAATGACTTTCTTAATTGTCCTGAGATAGTATGTTTAAATAATTGAAGTCTTCATGTTTAAAAAATACCAAATAATTATAGGCCAAAATACATTAATTATATTGATCTGGGTAAACTCCACCTGTTGAAAGGGGAAACAACTGCTGTGGTTGAAAAACATCTTGGTCGTGAGATGTACGGTCCGTCCGGCAAAGATTGATCGTTTCCTGCATTAAAATTGAGTATTGCTCTAGATCCAAATTATCTGAGTGTTTATTTTCTTAAAATATGAAATTTAAGTCTCAATTATTTTAATAGATCTATGAAATATGTTTTTGATCGATCGGCTCTAGATCAACACTTTGTTGTAACGTGGCCGAAATTTATGTGGTTGAAAGTTGTTGTTTTTTAAAAATACCCAACAATATGGTTTGTTTCACTATTTCATCGGTATTTTTACATGAATTAATTAACTGTTTCATGAGCTTTGTTATTAGCCTTGAAAACGCCCAGTAAAGAATGTACCGAAGTTGCTCCCCTGGTCCCGTGATATCGATGCGGTATCTCGCTTCGGTTACCGTTTTCTCATTCTGCAACTGAATCTGGTACATTGGGAAGCCGAAATTCTCTGATATATCTCCACATATCACACCCCTTTTTCCCCCACAAACTGTCTCTCCGTCATCAACTTTCGGCAATGGAAACATTGTCACTACGGTAATGTTTTGCCAGCTGGGGATTTCCTGTACTAGACGACCTCGGGTATCCCCGATCCGAAAATAGTGCCGTCAATTATTTTTAGCCAGCCAATCAAAACACGATGACACAACTCTCCACTCTCAGCCAGCCAATCAGATTGGGTGAAAAAAAATAAACCACTGCGAATAAACCACTGCTGGCGATTGAAGATCAAGCCCTGTTATGGGAGAAATTTCTAGCAAAACGTGGGGACAAGGGCAAATGCAAAACATGACAAGATATTTTTTATTACCATGTAGATCCTGCGATGTTCAACCCACGAGTCGCAATCTCTGGGTGCAAGTATTACAGCAGCAAGCAAATGAATAGCCAAACAATTACTTACGTTAGTATTTTTTGAATGAACATTGCTTCATTTGTCATTGTTGCAATCGTATTTGTTAAGTGTGGGGGTGGATGAGGTTAGGAAATTAATTACAAATTTAAATTTACAAGTTAATTTTGTGATTGCTGTCAGCACAAAAAGCAGTGAACATGAAATTCATAACGAGGCTTTAGGAAACTTTCAGCATTGCGTGTGCATGTCATGCGTTCTAGCTAATATTCCGGGTATTTCTACTGATCGATGAACGGAGCTACACTGCCGAGTTCGATTTTCGATCACCAAACAGAATAAAAACATGTTTTAAAATTGATTTTTTTTGTCATAGATCTAGTAACTTGCGAATTTTGAACATTTTCTGAATAAAGGGTGAAATGAAAGGACAGCTCGTTTTGTAAACGATCACTGTGTATTACAGGTGTGGGCAATTTTATCAAGATCCACCTGGATACCTTACATAGACCTAGGCCTATAGCCTATATTGATCAGAAATCTGATACTGATGTATGGTATCTGTATCGATCGATTAAGGTTAATCACACAGTTTAATTTTGTCATTTTGAGATATGGCTATTTCAGAATCGATTACTAGTTAATATTTAGCAGATATTAACTACAAGAGAGTAAAGGTAAAATTTAGTTATTAAATTCTTAATTTTAAGGTGTATACGGGAAAGGCTTCTACCGTACAGTTTTTTCCCCGGGGGGTCGGGTGTGTGGGTACGGTAGTCTTATCAGGTTAAGAAATGTATGATGTACATTTGTGATGAAATACTGAATAACATATTTTAAAAATGTACTATTTCAAAGGTATTTGATACTAAATATATATTACAAGACAGTTTAAAATGTAATTTATCTAATCGAAATTCAAATTAATGGTAAAACTTTGACGAGGAAGAGTAGATACTGCAGTACAGATCTTTTAGGACATTATCTATTGTTGAAAAACACCCAGAGCCTTATTTCAAATTTGATTTATTCTAACTAAAGATATATTATTTCAGTTTATCATTATCCCTTTTCATATGTTTACAAGCAATGAAACTGTGCATAAAATTACTTGTCCCCAATACTTTCCTGCTAGTGTTTGTAATATGTACATACCTTTGTATCTGATATTTTAATGATAAACGTTTATTTGCAGTTTTGGTTTACCATAATATAATATACATATATATGGTATCATATAATAAATGAAATCCGTTTTGTGGTAAACAGACTTCACAGGAGCTGTTCAATATTATGTCAACATGGGGATTTTCTCACTGCTTTTCAATGGATGGGGCTATGACTATTAAAGTGATACTACTTTCCCTGGGAAAACATTTCTGCTACATGGCTCCAGATAAGGACTGTATGTACAAGTGCAAATATACGAGATAAGATGTATGAATTAAGGAAAGGACCTGATATCTGTGCAGCAGGGCAGTGAATGATTTGATAGCCAAACACACGCTATGGGTGACAGACGTTTATTTCGCCAATGGATCGGTCACATATTTATCTATCTAATATGTAGTATCTAGTATCTACACCCTGAAACATATTAAAGGAATGATAAGTAATATTAACAATATACATAATGCAATCATCGACATCACAGTATTACTAAACCAGTTTACATTACAAACACATCTTATTCATATATTAGTTGTTACACTGTACAATGATCTGCTGACTGATGTAAGAACCCAATAGAGTATCTATTCATAAACTATATTATCTAAGTGTAAAGTAGTTCCATGCTGGTTCCGGCAATTGTCCAATAAGCAGTTCAAGATGTTAGTTCCTAGAAGTACCGGTACACGGGCACTGTATCTGGTACTTGGTACTATAAGGAATAAACATGGAACAGCATCCACATCAACACCTCCTCCAGTGATGGATACATCCACTTTAATAAACCCCTTATATGGTAAAGTCTCGCCGCCCGCACACTCAATGTCCAAAATATTACCGAGTGGCTCCAGTTCAATGTGCTGTAACTGTTCCTCATAAAAGGACTCAGATATGATGGACACTGTGGCCCCTGTGTCAAGTAAAGCTCGAACTGGCTTACCATCAAGCATGATGTTATCTTCATTTGCTTGACCAACTAATCCTTCAGGTACTCTGTTGGGGTTCTGAAGTAAGTCTAGTGGTGACCCCTGCCCGCAGACCCTTGCCAGTTTAAAGGGCGACGAAGATGGTCCAGACGAACTCGACATCCAATGGCAATGTGTCCTGGGTAACCACATCTGAAGCATGTAACTTCCTGAGAACTAGTAGAATAAGGATAATCCTTCTCAGGTTGTGGTGGATACGGGTTCCTCTGTGCACCAGATGTAGGGAGTGTAGGTCTCTGTCCTCTATGGTTTACTCTTGTACCTCTGTAGTAAGGGTTTGCAGTAGCTCCAATACCTTGTGGTGCGTAGACTCTATCATCTGGTCCTTGATCCAAGCTGTGGGGTGAGAAGGATCCATATGGGATAGCTCCTTGGGGTGGTGCAATCACTTCCTGAGAGGTAAATGACAGATTGCCTCGGCGTCTGCCCCTCTGTTGACTAGGGGTGATAGCCTGTTGCTTGGTCTTCAGATCTGAAACCTGACTTTGCAAATGTTGGATAGCAGAAGTCAGACTATCAATATCTTTCTTAGTCACTGTATCAGACTCGGAGGCCATCTTGGCAGTAGCAATCCTATTCCTAGGTGATGGTGTTGGATCCCTTCCTTGCTTCATGTCATACTCAAATCAAAAGTCCATCAAAAGAGGAGACAGAATCAAACTTATGGCCGGACACATTCTTCAATGATGGCCTAAGACCACTCCACAACATATTCCTCAGCATGTCATCCTGTTCTTGAAAAGGAATAGCGTGGTGATCCGTGACTTTGGAAAGCAAGTGTTCCAAACGGCATCCCCAAGTAGCAACATCTTCAACTTCACCCTGAGAAGCGCTATAAAACTGAGCCGAGAGCTTCTCTGCGCTGAACAGTTCCATACATACTGTAGAGTTTGTTCAGTTAATCCTGTATTGAAGCCTTGGATCCTAACCTCTTTGCTACTCTGGCTGCCTCTCCCTTCAAGGAATGTCTGATGGCCTGATCCATGACATCTGATGTGTAGATCGTTGACTTCAAGAGACAATCCACTTCGTAAGTCCAAAGGTCAAATGGGACATCCTTGCCCTGAAAATTGCCACTAAACAATGGCAGCTTAGGGAACTGATGGTACGCTACCGCTACGGGCTTAACATCCTGTGTCTGTGGTGGAGTAGGATGTCCAGTTGTCTCTTCATATTCCCCGGTAAGAGGGCCTTGGCGAGAATACATGTCCGTGATCCAGGCTTTAAAATCATCAGGTGTGTTAGCCTTCGGTTGCATCCCCAACTTCTTAAAAAGTGTGGCCATGCCTTCCAGCTCCTCATCCTTGAACTCCATGGTAAAGGAATGCGGCAGAAGTAGGCAAAGAAAACAAGCACAACTGCTCAAAAAGCAGACCATGTGCCAACGAGGTAAACAGGGAATATCAAAGGATACCAGGAAGTCAAATGTGTGAAACACCAATCGCGTGGTGAGTGTGTAGGAAGTACCATGTGATATAGAGGGTCACACTGGCAGGTAACTATATGGGTATGACTGAGGACCCATGCGCTAAGGCATGAAATAAGCAATGTGATGCATGCAGCAATCGTGCAGAAATACAGCTATGGGAACGGTAAATAGAAAATATCTACTGAACACGTGTGTAGTGAAGTGGATAATGCAAGTTTAAATAAATTGCAGAGTACCTGTACCAACTACTAGGGCAAACAAAGACAAACAAGTGGAATGTCTAGTTCAGACAACTAATACACAAACTAAGCTGAAAGGCAATCCCTCCCAACATAGCACGTGTGACGGCAAAGTGTAATAATATAGTCACACGGAATAAAGAGTGAGTGAGTTTGGTGTAAGGCAGGTTTAAGGCCGGTTTAAACAGTATTCCTGTTATATCATGCAGTACAAAAGAAAGAAACGCAACACAAGTGTACACAAGATAAGGTGTACATATACTTGAATATAATGCTAGGCATACGACAAATCCCAAGTTGAAAATACAATACTTACAAAGTGTATTTACAAACCAAGGAAGTGACTAAATACTAAATGTACAGACAACACAGAGGTAGTGGAAGGGGATGATTGTAACAAAATGTCGTCATACAGTCAGTAAATTAAGACATGTTTAGCTTACATGTTGTTTATACAATTACATTTTATTTGCTTACCTTTTATTTGATTAAACAAGGAGAGAAAGAAGAAATGAAATCAAGCCATTTTCATACACACATACACACTGAGTACCGTTATATAAGTAAACTAACTAAAAGCTGATGGCAAACTAAATAAAACTATACAAAAATAAACTAAGCTAAGCTAAACGTAACAATACCCAACAGAACTAAACTGAACTAAACTAAACTAAACACATGATATAATAAAGAACTTGTAGCTACGTAGATGTTGTTGGTACCAACAGAATAATAAGAAGTAGCTGACAAAGAAGTCTACTGTAATACAAAGCTTTGTACATGAACGAAATACGAAATATGTGACGTAAACAAAGTCACAGTTTACAGAACTGAACTGCACTGGTGCCAGGTACAAAGTGAATTTAAAGTTAAATGCTAGCTAGCAAAGGATGTAACATTTGTACAATGAATTTATACATAATGGGGACTCACATGATCAGAATATTCATGAATTGAATTGAATGTCCAAGCTGAAGTAGCAATATCCAGTCACAATAGACACACAAATGTCACGTGACAGTGTCCAAGGTCACACAAAGGTCACTTCAAAGAAATCATCAAAAGTGGATGTTGCTGGCGATCTATGTCGTTCCTTCCATGGCGACTATAGTCCTCACTGGGGGCTTCATTTGTAGCAGGGCAGTGAATGATGTGATAGCCAAACACACGCTATGGGTGAGAGACGTTAATTTCGCCAATGGATCCGTCACATATTTAGTATCTAGTATCTACACCCTGAAACATATTAGAGGAATGATAAGTAATATTAACAATATACATAATGCAATCATCGACATCACAGTATTACTAAACCATTTTACATTACAAACACATCTTATTCATATATTAGTTGTTACACTCTACAATGATCTGCTGACTGATGTAAGAACCAAATAGAATAATTATTCATATACTATATTATCTAAGTGTAAAGCGATAACAAATCTCTTTCAAAATACGTCCATATATATGACTTTACGGGTGTGACACACTTATGTGTTACACAAATATAGAAACTGACTATATAAGTTATTATGTGCCTACCCTGTGGGTGAGACTGGTGTGTCTTCCCGACTACCGCCGCAACTTATAATTCCGGATATCTGAATAAAACATATACTTTTATAACAATGACTAATACAACTATTTACATACACGTTAAAATATTTCTCCGGATCCCGTATAGTACAGACTTTATATTATACAGAAATGACCACAAAAGCATTTAAAACATTGCCTATTCCGTAAAACAACAAATACACTCTTCCCCATACACACAAGAATAAAGAGCCAGAAAAGTGATATATTAGTAATTACCAAAGCTTACAATTTAGAAGTCTTGTTTACCACATTTGCATAAATAGATTGTAACTGAGAATATGATAATATTAAACACGTTTAGTTAAGTTTAGTATTATAGGTTTATTATACTGCAACATTTAACTGCAATAACATACAAGTTAAGTATACACATATATATTAAACTAACCTGATTTTAGGTGATTTCACCTGTCAACTTGTCTGTGTAAGAAATGTGCGTAGACTGAGAACATGCAGTGAGACAAAGGGTCAACTTTAAGGGTTAGCTTGGCCAATCAGTTGAGCACGTCATGGCTTGGGTTTGTTAAGGCTTACAACACGAAGGACATATTAACTACATTTAATCTATCTTTACTAATGATTTATGTTTAAAGTTGAACACTTAAAAGCAGATACTGAAGGTAAATAAAATAAATATGTACAATGTTGTATCTGTCACATCTGTATATGGTAAAGCTTTATTTAAATGTTACTTTTATGTTTTGAGCAATATACACAAACTTAATTTATGATATTCTTATATTTCTATTTCAGAAAACCAGACGTCCAGCCATTGCCTGTTGGCAAACATGGATGAGTTGAATGAACTCTAAGCAGCTTTTCCAAAATCGAGCAAATGAGAGAGCAGTGGTGAGTGGATTACACTTCTTTAGATGTATTAAGTATGGGAAATTAACTCCAAGTTTGATACATATTGAAGATCCGGGTTAGAATAGGTCTTAAGAACCCATGCTTGCTGTAAGAGGCGACTATGCTTGTCGTATGAGGCGAGTTATGGGATCGGGAGGTGAGGCTCGCTGACTGGGTTGATGCTTGTCATCGATCCCAATTGCGTGGATCGATGCTCATGATATTAATCACTGGATTGTCTGGTCCAGACTCGATTATTTACAGACCGCCGTCATATAGCTGGAACATTGTTGTGTGCGGCGTTAAACAACAAACCAAACCAACTGATACATGTTTCTGAGTGAAATATTTCAAAGCATATATTTAATATCATGTTTGTCCTATTAAGGGCCCCTGACACTTACTCTGGTAATCTTCCAAATGAAATTTCATGCTGACTTACTTTTGATGGAGAGATCGCACACCTAAAACTGTCCTCCAGCAAGATTGGGGGGAGGGGGGTTATCATGTGGTTATTGGGGAAGTTTATTTGGCTAAATAAATAGGGTGATATGTCAGTTATAAAATATTTTTTAATTGATATAAGAAACATATTAGGGACCTGCCATGCAATATTGGAAGGGTTGAAGTTATTTGCATGTATAATTACACCTAATTCAATTCACTTATTTACACATATTATAAACTCATCAATTTACTTACTGGGAATCCAACAATTCTAGGGTGGGCCCTTCTGCTTTTAGCCCCTAAATTTGGAAAAAGGCCAACATTTTCAAATACAATGGGGCATTTTAACATTGTGCTGTGTTGGCAAGTGCGGGTGTACCTAGGGAATATATGAATTTGTCACATAAAGGGCCAATGTCAGAAAATTCCTTGAATGAACCCTGTATTTATTAACAGGTGTCAAGACTTAAAATAATATATACACACATATGTAAGGTGGTGCATGTGAACAGGGTATTACGTATTCTATTATCCCATTATGTTACCAATAACTCTTTTAACACACTTGTGAAGTCCATTAGTTGTAATTGTCAGAGTGCATGCAATGACTTAAAATATGCACACTGACATTTTTTGCTATCATTTGTAAACAGAAGCTGAGGAGGAAGCCTGCAGCTGGGCTCTTACAAGTACATAGTGACCCGTGTAAAAGAATGGCTCCGAGTTCCAGGAGCAAGGCTTAGAAATGGCACAAGGAAAACGCGTACTGAAAAAAACAGAGGTGCAGATAGAGAATCTGCAAACAAAAGTGTTCAATTGCAACGGAACAAAGAAATCCAAAAAGTTGGTGTTGCAAAAACTGCAAGGTTCTCTTGGACACTACTGCAGTTAATAAATGAAATTGTCCGTGCTTATCTAAGGTACAAACTCCAAAAGATGGTTATAAGAACTTATTTTGTATGGAGTAATGGCCTTTGCTTCATACTTTTTTAACTTGATGGAATGTGAAAAATGTTTGTCTCACAAACGAATTTGAAGCCACATAAATGAAATTTCTAGGCCAATATGAGGGGTATATTTTTAGACTGTGTTTTGAAACTGGTTTTGAGAATATATGTTTCACATCCGCCTTGTTGCAGGTAATAAAACTGTTTTCTTGTAAATAATATTAAATTAAAAATAAAGTTTATTATTCTATTTTGCGCTTTGTGTTTAATTGTAAGTATTAACTACACATGTATTAGGGTACATAAAAAAATAGTACTGTAACTAGTGTAAGCATTTCGATTGTTCTGTACAGCTAGAAGTATTCATATTACTTACAGTTTGTTTTCAAGGTATTAACTATGATAAAACAATAATTATCTTTTAAAATATTACGTATTTTTTTAGTTTTACCTTTCATCTTTGTAACTTCAGAGCTAGCTGCAGCTTTTAGAAATGTTTAGTTTTATGTACCCTAACACTACACTTGGAAAATTTCTATTGTGGCACCATTTACATGAAATATTCAGATGAGATGTTGTCAGTTATGACTTCTGCAGGCAACTACGTCAGATGACATCAGCCTATTTAAGACAATGGCAGATGAAAAAACTAACGAAGCGTTAACAATTTAAGTTTGGGTGTGTTTTACAATTTTTGAAGACATCGATTTTTGTAAATGATTATTGCAAATGGTTAGCCATTTGTTTCATACTTTATGTATTTATTTTGAAGAAAATCAAGATCTGACATCAAATATTATGAAAGGTAAAAATACTGAACATCCCAACTGCCATTGTAAATAAGCAAAGAAGAGAAAGGGTGATGAAGTCTAAATGACTAATGCGTGGATGGTGATAAGACTTGAGGTTGGACAAGGCTGATTCTAAACCTGCAATTACTGTCAGGCCAATGTCAACCCAATGCTGCGCCGATAATTATTGTCGACGTTGGGCCGATGTCCATCCGATGCTGATTCCATAACAGTTGCCTATGTCTGGCCGATGGCTGGCCAGATAACTATTAACGACGTTGGGCCGATGTCGATCCGATGAGCAAAACTCCATCAGCCCGACACTGTTTGCCTGTTAGAGAGAAAGAGAGAGAGGGGAGAGTTAAAGAGAGAGACATATGGTGTGAGAGAGAGAGAAGGAAAGAGAGGAGAGAGAGAAGGAAAGGGAGGGAGAGAGAAGAGAGAGGAGAGATAAAGATAAAGGGAAAGAGGGAGGGGAGAGGTAAAAAAGGGTAAGGAGACACACAGAGAGAGGGAGGGAGAGAAAAGGACAGAGAGGGAGATATAGAGAGAGGGGAGAGAGGGGGGCAAAGAGAGGGGGAAGAGAGAGAGTGGTAAAGAGATATAGAGAGAAGGAAAGAGGGAGAGAGGGAGATAGAGAGAGACAGAGAGAGAGGGGAGAGTAAAAGAGAGAAAGAGAGGATGTGAGAGAGAGAGGTAAAAAGAGAGAAAGAGAGGGCGACGGAGACACAGAGAGAGAGGGAGGGTAGAGAGAAGGAAAGAGAGGGAGAGACGGAGAGAGAGGAAAGAGAGAGAGGGAAAGAGAGAAGGAAAGAGAGGGAGAGATAGAGAGTGAGGGACAGTTAAAGAGAGAGAAAGAGAGGGTGAGAGAGAGAAAGAGAGAGGGGAACGAGAGAGAGAGGGGAAAGAGAGAGAGAGAAGGAACAAGAGGGAGAGGGAGAGATAGAGAGAGGGGAGAGAAAGGGGGATGAGGAATACACAAAGAGAAAAGAAGAGAGAGGGAGAGATAGAGAGAGAGAGCTAAGGAGAGAAAAATAGAGGGTGAGAGAGACAAAGGAGGGAGAAGGTGAGAGATGGAAGAGAGACTTAGAGAGAGACAAAGAGGGAGAGTGAAGGAAGGAGAGAGAGGGGAGAGAGAAGAGAGAGTGAGGAGTAGAGAGATGGGGGAAAGAGAGAGGGGGAGAGTTAAAGAGAGGGGGAGGGAGACAACAATGAGAGAGGGAGAGATAGAGATGGGACAGAAAGAGATATAGAGAGTTAGAGGGAGATATAGAGAGAGGGGGAAAGAGAGAGAGGGAGAGTTAAAGAGAGAAAGAGAGGGTGTGTGTGAGAAAGAGAGAGGTAATAAGAGGTTGCAGAGAGACGAGAGAGGAGAAGATAGCGAGGGTAAGAGGGAGAGATAGAGAGAGAGAGAGGGATAGAGAGAGAGAGAGTAGTCCTGGATGCCTATTGTACACGTCAGGGATATATTATTATGTAGTCCTGGATGACTACTGTACATGTCAGGGATTTATTATTATGTAGTCCTTGATGGCTAGTGTACATGTCAGGGATAAATTATTATGTAGTCCTGGAGGGCCACTGTAAATGTCAGGGATTTATTATTATGTAGTCCTTGATGGCTAGTGTACATGTCAGGGATATCTCATCATGTAGTCCTTGATGGCTAGTGTACATGTCAGGGATATCTCATCATGTAGTCCTTGATGGCTAGTGTACATGTCAGGGATATCTCATCATGTAGTCCTTGATGGCTAGTGTACATGTCAGGGATATCTCATCATGTAGTCCTTGATGGCTAGTGTACATGTCAGGGATTTATTATTATGTTGTCCTGGATGGCTACTGTGCATGTCAGGGATTTATTATTATGTAGTCCTGGATGGCTACTGTGCATGTCAGGGATTTATTATTATGTAGTCCTGGATGGCTACTGTGCATGTCAGGGATTTATTATTATGTAGTCCT